ATATATATATATATATATATATATACGAAATATATAGGAAAAAAAGGAATGATTAAATTAAAACAGCCTCCTAGTTGCTCAGCGATAAATATGAAGGTTTATAACGCTAAAATTTGGGTTTCGATACCGTAGTGGGTACAGCACAGATAGCTCATTGTGTTGCTCTGTGCTGAACAAAAACAAACAAAAGTTAACTAGAGTAGAAACAGCGTTATATATAAATCTTTGCTGATGACTGCGAAATTATTGTGTGTAGCAGAGATTTATCAGTTAGTGTAATAGTTAACTTAGTGTCAGAGCGTAGATAGAAATATATGTATTATATATTAATATCTACAGGTGTAATCCAACACCATACGATTTGACACGTAGACTTTCTACCTTTAGCGAACTGATAAAACTTTCCTATATACATGTTTCAGGGCCAGGTTGTGCGCAGTGCCCAGTGCGCATGTTGAATGTGGTTATTGCTGGAGTCTGTTGTGACCACTCATTCCGAACACGGCATTTTCTGGGAACAGCATCGCTTTCAGAGGAGGGATGGTGTGGTGATTTGTTCCTTACCAGACGATAGCTTAGAACTATGGATCTTTACTCATGGAGATATTTAACTGTCTTAATTTTTATAATATTCAGTTTGAAAAACTGTGTCCAATCCGAGTCGGCAGAAATCGGTGAGTAGTAATTTGAGTGGATTCATACATCAGCGTGTGTAGAATACAGTAGGATTGTAACAACGATCTAATAATAGTGAATATAGCGCAGATCTAGTCTACAGCTTGCAAGACCACTTCCAATGATAAAATACAAAATTCAGTTAACGTCACAAAAATATGTTTTCGAGTACATGCTGCTATACAAAAATGTCAGGACTATCTATCCAAATACAAAAATGTTCCCATAATATTCGAGAAATAATTCATATACTCGTCTTGAAGCTGTGAATTAAAAGGGTTAAATGGCAGATAAAGTGTTCTTGTTGAGGGTTTTATTTAGAGTTGCGTAGGTTCTACCGATAATTTCATTGAGCAGATTGATTATCAGCTTTATGATTCATCGCTAAGATATTAAGCCTTACATCTTAATCAGGAGTTTTATCTGTTGCTTCATGTATTTCTGCTCAGAATTATACAGTTGTAAGTATCATTTTCAAGTCTCTTGTTAATTAATCAATTGTAATAAGGTTTTGAACGCTAGCAACGAAACACGAAACTTGAAGAGGAATAATGTAACTAATTGTAGTTACTGATGAACTGGATACTAATAGACGGTCCGGCGTGGCCTGGGCTGGTGTTTAGGGTGCTCGACTCGCAATCTGAGGGTCGCGGGTTCGAATCCCCGTCACACCGAACATGCCCGCCCTTTCAGTCTTGGGGCGTTATAATGTGACGCTCAATCCCACTATTCGTTGGTAAAAGACTTGGCAGTTGGTGTTGGCTAGCTGCCTTTTTTTTAGTCTATCGGTGCTATATTGGGAACGGGCAGCACAGATAGTTCTCGTGCAAGTTTTGCGCGAAATTCAAAACAAACCAAACTTACTGATAGGATAGGTTCGGTTACAAGAAAGCGTGAAAAGGGTGCAAGTAGCCTAATAGTAATAGTATTTCACCTACTAGCGCATCGGGAGTTAAAAAAACACTAGAATAGTTCCCTATATTTATATACTTGTGAAATATTTTGTGTGCTGTATTCAAGTTTATTGTAAATACGTGCTTAAAATGGCCATTAAAATATTTCAATGCATTTGAATGCGAATTTTGTAAAAAAATATTGGACACTCATTAAAAGGAATTTAAAATGTATTCCCCACTTTTCAATGCAGACTGGGTGATAGTTATTGTTATTGGGTTAGGTATGGTTTAGTTATTGTGTAGAAAATCCTACCGAATGTCTGCTTCCCAAATAGGTAGAAGAGATACTGAATCTAGCCACTTTCTCCAAAAGTCACCCCTAAACTGTTTTATTTTGAATATTTGTATTTGCACAGCGACTTAACTATCGTGCAGCAGAGACCGCAATGCGGGGAATCAAGGAAAGCTGAACAATGTAGCAATTTTTTCTGTGCTTATATTTCGAGAGGAAAGAGCTAAAATCGTTATTACTCCACTGCTTGTGTTTGTTTGTAATTAAGCACAAAGCTACACAATAGGCTATCTGTGCTCTGCCCACTACGGGTATCGAAACTCTGATTCTAGCGTTGTAAATCCACAGACATGCCGCTGTGCTACTGGAGGGGGGGGGCACTGCTTGTGAAAAACGAATCTGTTAATTCTTTAGCCGGCTTCTTGCTAACATCAAAAACAAAATTTCACTATGGGTGATGTTTAATATAGAAAGCTTGTATTTCTATGGATTTATTTCTTAGTTGCACATTCCCATCAGTACTGGTAATAAACCGGATTCACACTAAATAAAAGTTAATAGCTTACGAACCTCTGACTGTAATTGGTGCACTAGTTTTGCCATTTAGAAAAAAATAATAATTTAGTAACAATTTAGATTATTACTAAGAATTTTGAAGTTGAAGCACTTAGTAGTTACACGATGAAAATGATTGTGAAATATTTTGTGTCATTCCAAATATTATTATGCAATTCTTGTCATACAAAGAACTGACCATTTTTATGTAAAACAGTTAACGTTTTTTAAGTTAAACTGTGTGTACAGAGACTAAAACCGGAATGACTAGTTGATAAGGGTTATTTCTAGGTTAAACTTTAAACACGATCATGGTAATGATAATTATTGCATAGCATAAGAGCTGTGTATTGGGAACAGGGCACGGAACCGAGATGTCTGGCGAGGGTGAGTCGCCCGTTGGATAGGCTTCGATGGTTCAGTGGTGTTTTAGAACTTCCCAGCGCTGGCTTATTTCACCACCGACGAGCACTTGCCATTCAGGTTTGTCGAGCGATGAGCAGCGACCCACCCCGTGTCAGCCTCTACCTGGTACGTGTCTATTTTGGGGGAAAGGGGAGAACCAAGGGTTGAAACCGATAACCGGCTTGTGAAAGTTTCGTGAAGGCGTGGCAGGAAAGAGATGTTGAAGAACAAAACAAAAGCTTGATACCCTTTTGCATTGTATACGTATTCTACAAGCAGATTTAACGTCGTCACACTGTTATCAGTATTTTCTGGGCATTATCCGCACCCAACGTTGTTGTATAATAAGGACTGGTATTATGATTATATCAAAATAGTTTGAGATTTGAAAGATTAATGAGCATATTATCACAAAGACGTCATGATTTTCGTTAACACAGTTAGTCCTTTCGCCTGTTAAGATAAATTCAAACCCATAAAAATTAGCTTACTAAGGTAATGGTTTGTTTTGAATTTCGCGCATAAATGCACGAGGGCTATCTGCGCTAGCCATTCCTAATTTAGTAGTGATGAACTAGAGGGAAGGCAGCTAGTCAACACGACCCACCGCCAACTCTTGGGCTACTCTTTTTTACAAATGAAAAGTAGGATTGATCGTCACAATATAACGCCCCCACGGCTGAAAGAGCGAGTACGTTCGTCGAGAGGGATTCGAACCCGCAGTTTGCGAGACGAGTGCCTTAGCCACTATGCCCTACTAAGGCTATGACACGAGATTCTTTTAAATTAGCGCTACACGTCCATTTTGTTTTCTTTTTTACAGATTGTATACTGTAGATTTCTGGCTCAGCTTGTGGAAAGCTCGAAGTAAATAGCAAAGGTATTATTATTTATCAATAATTTTTGATCAAAGTAAGATACCAACATAGATCCGAACTAAAAATTAACCCGGTGAGTAACTTAGCTAATTAACATACCAATCTAACTAGAAGAATGCAGTGTCAAAAAATATAATGAATAGAATGCATTGATCCACCAGTTGTGTAATCTATCTGTTAGCCATATTTTCGGCTGTAGTCCCATTAATACCTCTCAAGATTCGGTCAGCTGAGGAGAGTCTATTTGCTCGTAAATTCATATACTAAGCTAACAACGTGAATAATTTTCATAATGAAATATGGATATGAAATAAAGAAACAGTGATATCAATGAAATTGTATTATGTAAATTAAACATTGAACCAATGCTATTAATGAAACTTGCATTAAATAAAGATCGGGATATGATTTTTTAACCCTGTCTCGCAAATACTATCTTTGTCATTCACAATTTTTCCGTCAGTCTACACACGAATAGGTTTAGTGTTTGAAAGTGCAACTTCACCATAATTATCTATGACTGTTTACGTAATGTGTGAAAGGAATATTGCATAGTCATATACGTGCGTTATGACAGGCGACGTTTGATGTATCCATTTGGGTTTGTGGAAGAACTACAGGTTGGGCGAAAAAGTATGAGCACCCCTACTTCAAATAAAGATAGTGTACATGAAAATATATATATATATTATTGCATATTGACATATGTACGTGTCTCATATTGAGACAAACTAACAAAAGGTTCGATTAATGATCCAAAATATCTGTCTGTTGGCCTTCAATTTCATGACATAGGATGATACGTCTCCATGTACAATGTGACGTCCTCCTTAGCATATTAGGGGTGACCTTAGCGAAACGTTCAACAATTTTATATTTTAAAGCATCAGTATTTTTATTATAAAAAATAAAACTATCTGTCTGGGGGGGGGGGGATTTTGTAATGCACTTTTATAGTCGCAATACCCAGTTGTCGCCTATACATGTTATGATATCATCGTTCTTGTTCATGAAAATAGGTCCTGGATATATTAATTAATCTACTATGTAAAGCAAAGTGTGTGTCTGGGTAAAAAATACACGGTCGTATCTATCTTTTCATATCTGTTCCTTATACGTTTCCACATTTCTTCATCAACGAGTACCAAACTTGACATAGTAATACAGGATGACATACGGAAGGTCATGAGGGGTCATGAAGGTCAGTATGTCTTTCTTTTCAGTACTGGTACCTTTATGTATTTGTATTACACTTTTAATGTTTATTATGTTAAGAAAAAAAGTAGAAGCACAATTTTTTTATCCTTACAAACGAGCTGTTATTTCACCTGTCCAATGGACGAGTACTCCAGTTAGTATATGAATATAATATCGCTATTCTTCTTCTTTAAAATAGGTCCTTGATGTATTAATACATGATTAAAATACCGATATTCTTGTTTATTAAAATTACTGAAATTGATATTATCATTTATACCTGAAGGAGTAGAGATTTGGTTAGTTAGACATCTGGTAACAAACACGACAAGGACTAAATCCATCTTGCGTGTAATATTACTTCATGTGAGGTTTACATTCGACAGGTGGCAAGAGATAATTTGTATGTATAGCCTCAAGCAGTTACGCAAGTGCAAATATATATATATATTTGCGTTACGCTCAAGTGTGCTACATCATAAGATGCATATTACAATGTACAAAAAACAATTATATTTAACTTCAATTCGTTTTATATAGTCAGAACACGCATATATTTCTGTAGAATGATTTGCATGTTTGCTGGTGAAAAAGATTGATTACATTTACCTTCTGTTTTTCATTCACATCCTGATTGTTCTGTCAACATCTTAAAACCTGAACTGGTTAGTTTAGATGTAAGTAATTGTATTGACGAAACAACTGTCACAATATCTTCATGATTACTTATAATTTCATAAAAATCCTACATTTAGTTCTAGAGAACGAAAAATGGC